ATTATGGTTTGAGAACATAACTCTGGATGATTTCAGTCTTTTTAAGTTTATTGAAACTTGTTTCATGACCCAGCATATGGTCTGTTTTGGTGAATGTTCGTTGTTCACTTGAAAGTAATGTGTATTCTGCAGGCTTTAATGATCTATAAGTACCAATTAGATCACATTGATTGGTAGAGTTCAAGGGTCCTATTAACTTTAAATGCTTTTTTTTTCTCTCCACTTGTCCTATAAGTTGCTGAGAGAGGTCTGTTGAAATCACCAACTGTAATTGAGGAATTGCATATGTCTCTTTTCAGTTCTGTCAGTTTTTGCTTCTGTTTAAAAGTTTTGTTATTGTCTGCATACACACTTAGGATTATTATGTTTTCTTGTTGAATTGTCACTTTTGTCATTATGTAATGTCCTTTATATCTGGCAACATTCTTCACCTGAAGCCTGCTTTGTCGGATATTAATATTGCTCCGGGTTTCATATAATTAGTGTCTTCATGATGAATTTTTTTCATCCTTTTACTTTTAACGTCTCTGTATCTTTATAGCCAAAGTGGGGTTTTATAGGTATAATGTTGTTGGTTGGGGTATATCTTAGGCATGTATCTTAGACTGCTTGATATTTCACAGGTCACTGAGGCTCTGTTCTTTTTAAAAACCATTCACTTTCTCCTCTGTTCTTCATTTTGTATAAATCATATTGTTTTTTAAGTGTACGGATTTTATTTTCCTGCAGTGTCTAATTTGTTGTTATTCCTTTGCAGTGAAATTTTCATGTCAGATATTATATTTTTGTCTTTAGCAGTGCCACTTTGTTCTTTTTTACACCATTTCTCTCTTCATTATATTCATATTTTCCTTTACATCTTTGAGCATATAGAACATGGTTATAATAGGTGTTTTAATGTCCTTATCTACTAATTGCGTCATCTATCATTTCTGGGTCTATTTCTGTTGACTGATTTTTCTCCTGGTTCCTGGTCATTTTCCAGTTCTTTGCAGCTCTAAGTACCTACAAAGGATGGTACACATTGTGAATGTTACATTATTGGCTTTTGTTTCCTTTAAATTATATAGGGTTTTATTCTAGCAGATAGTTAATTTACTTGCAGATCAGTTTAATCCTTTTGAGGCTTGTTTTCAAGCTAAACTATGGCCCATGCCTGTTTTTGTAAATAAAACTTGACTGGAACACAGCCATGCTCACTTGTTACATATTGTCTGACTGCTTTCACACTACAACAGCAGAATTGCGGAGTTGTAACAGAGACCATATGGCCTGCAAAGCCTAAAATATTTATTGCCTGATCTTACAGAAAACTTTGCTTACCCCTGCTCTAGTAAAGTATTTGTTAATTTAAAATGAATTTATAGGTAAATATCTAAAAACTTGCTCAGTTTTATTGGGTTGTCGGAAAAGTTATGACGTATTTTTTCTGTTTTTCCTTGCAAAAATGCTTCATGACTTTTCCGACAACCCAATAATTTTTACTTCAGTAAATATCAATAGATAGGACCCACATAAAAGATTGTTGGGATCCTCGATTTTCAAAAGTGTAGAGGAATCCTGAGATCCCCCAAATTGGCAACTGCCGATTTAAAGTAAACTTGCTGGATATAAGGAACTTGTCCTGCTCAGAGAATCTACAGCTCTCTGGGGTCTCTGATTAGAAGTGCGGTGTGCCCTGCTCTCCTGGGTTTTTCCAGCTCTATCTGTGCATGGGAAAGGCTGGTGGCAGCTGTGTCTTGAGTATGCGGTGTCACTGCCCTTTCCTTACTCTCTCATCATTGTAGTCTGATCTGACGTTTTTCCACTTAAATAAGCAGCAGAAGTGACTAGATTTTGTTTTTACTGATCCTGGAGAAGTGTGCAAAATATATCATGAGGGAACACTAAGCAATTAATGCACTAAAATCTTACTTGCAGATGAGTGACAAATCTCATGAGGATAAGGAAGAGATTTGACCAAATAATGAAATT